AGGTGTGTGAAAAGAAAACCTGAAGGACAGAACACTTGTTTCTAGTGACCTTTCCTTATGAGTAACTTGAAGGTATTTCCTTTCAGTTTTGGTTAAAATTCCCATTTTCTATGTGAACACTGTTAACTCTTGGGAATAACCTACCTAGTATACACCACAGACTTACATGACTCGTTTAGGGGTTCTTTGTATACTTCTGCTAACATCACAAAATCTGAAAGATCTTGAATGTATCCTGGAATAGAGGGAAAAACAGGTGTCCTGGTATATATATGCTGTATTACCTGGGCCCTTGCATCTCCCAGTTGGTAATCTGGGACAAAAATACGAGTGTGTGTTCTAGCAGATGTTATCCTGCCCAATAATTTAAAAATCTGGGAGAAGAATTAGTTCTGTGGGTCTTTCTGTTATATTGGTTTTGCTCAGTTTGCATGTGAGGAGAAGGAGGCAGCCACTTATATTGATGTTAACAGTGGATGGCATGAACAGGTACAAGCAGGACTTGCTTTTTAACCCTGTTCCTCTGGCAACTTTGTATGTGGTAAGAATTAGGGCAGAAGGGTTAAGATGCTGTTCTCATGTTCTGATTCACAGATCCTCTTTTATTTTGACTATGATTACAGTCCCTATAGGAAAGACATAAAATTGAAAAGGTTTTAATAACATTATCTGCGATTATATGACAGTCAGGATGCAAAAAGTAAATTTGTGCATCTTCTTAAGAGACAGAATCCTTGTCTCCACCCTGTCCCTGAAATGGGAAACATTTTAGTGGGCCAGGCACATGCTTAGAACAATGAAAGTAAGATGGCTACATGTCTCTTGGGTGTTCTGAGGTGTTCAAACTTTCCAGTGAAAAGTAAGAAAGACTTCAGTGCATTTTAGATTTCTCCCTTTAGTTTTATTCACTTTCCCCTGATGTGAAAGTAAGGGGCAAATTGCATGTGGTTAAGGCCTATTCTTTAGGACTGACAGAACCACAGAAACAGTTTCTTCTGTGGCTGCATCACAAAAATGGCAATAAAACTTGAATTTTCAAGGGCAACACAATGGAGAGAAAAGCCAGGTGTGCAGCGAGACTTAAATCCCTGGAATCCTGACATTAGACCCAAAGCCCATTTCCCAAAGTTCAAAAGAAGTACCCTTGCTTCACTTGGATGTACTCAGTGTGCACAGCTGGTTTACAGGGAGCAAGCTCTGCAATGGTTACAGGCATTTCTGAGGTACACAGTTCCTCAGTGTTCAGGAAGTGTTAAGAACAAACCTTCCATGCTTTCTCTTCACCAGCAGCAATTTTGTACTCTAAATGTCATATATACAAAGGTAGCAGGAAAAAAACTAAGGCCAGCCTGTTTAGTAAAGTTGCTTGAAAATGAGAGTGGGAGATGCTAGTTATCTTGAGTATAAAGGTTGTTTCTACCTATTTTTACTAAAACCTTATGACTGACAAAATTACTATCAAATAGAGAGTCAGAATCCATGACATAACTTGGTATAATCTGACTCCTTTTTGCCAGTGTGCCTAATTTAAAGATGAATTACAGTTGTATTGAAGGAGAGGAAGTGGCACCTGATGATGAACTGGAGTGCAGAGCCTGTTATCAGAGATTTACTGTTCATAGTTGTAAGCCCAAAATCTTGGATTGTCTTCACAGAACTTGTGACAGATGTTTGACTAAAATACTTCCTAAGGGAGATGGATTGCCCTGTGTTAGCTGCCCCTTTTGCTACCATGAGACAGAGCTGCATCAAGTTAAGGGACTCCCCAGTGATACAAATACAATGTCCATGCTCATATTAAGAACCAAACGAGCATGGAATTCTGACTATAAAGAAGTAGTTTTAACACCAAAAACCATGGCTTCCTCAAGTCCCTCCCACAGATCATCAAACTGCTTAGTAATTACAATTATGGAAGTACAAAGAGACTCCCCAAGGACTCCCAGTGGAAGTAATGCCTCAGATTATATGCCTGACCATGGCACTGAGTCAGTATCTTTAAGTTCTCCAGGTCAGCTAAACCAAGGTCTCTTTTCAAAGCTGTGCAAGCATGTACCCAGAGTACTGGTATGGCTGCTTGGATTACTTTATTTGCATTCCCTCCCTCTTGGCATCTATTTACTGGTGATTCAGAAAGTGACCCTAGGTGTTGTGTGTGAGTTTTGCTCCATCCATGTCTCATGTATGGCTTCTGCCAGTGCCTCTGCCATGGAATTTGTGACTGCTCTTCCTGAAGCTGACATGCAGTGTTTTATCAACTGGTAAATTTTTAACTGAGCCATAAAACAACTTCATTGCAAACTTTAACCTTTATGGACTGCTAAAACTGTATATAGTAGGACATAATATATTTGTGTTAAAGCACAGTAACTTGTGTGAATGCTGGCAAAATGACAACATGGTGGTGTTGGGTGTTTTCTTTTGCTATAAAGATGGTGGTTACTATCACCTGATCCTGAAGTTGCAAACTATTTTAGACCATCATCTCATTATCTGTGAATAGAAAAGGTATTTGAAGGTTATTTGTTTTTTTTTTTAAAAAAAACCACTCCATTCTGATAAAATAATTGTCACTGTTTTTAAAAATGGAGCTCAGAAATGCTCTGTTTATTGCCTGTTAATAAGTCCCATGACAAGCTAGTTCAGATTTGAGTAAAAACTAAAGTTGCATTAAATATGCTTCTCTACAATCAGATTTCTTCTGGAAAGTTATGAGTGACAAGTGTTGTGACACTTGTGGTTGGATCTTAAAGGGCCAACTAAAGAACAGGTTTTAAGTAAGCTTTAACATTTTGAAAGATTCAGTATGCCTGAAAAATTGTCTTACAGATGCCCAAGTATATAAAACTAGAAATGAAACCAATTTGTTTTCAGAACTAAAATGCCAAAGTAAATGGTTTCCTTAAAATAATTCCTGCACACACACACACAAAAAAAATTCTGAATATTTGTTTTCAACCCATTTGATACGACTCTACTGTTATTTTCTAAATTTCAGATGGTTGTACTGATAACCTATAAAACCTTTTGCACAGTGAATGACATTATAAAGTTTACAGTAATTGCTAACTCCCAAACTAAAAACAGATATTTATAAAGAGAATCACCTTTAATTTGCTAACTTAAGCGTACACAGTTTAAAATATGTAATAAAGCTGTGTAAATAAATATTGACATGGTTTTGAGTTTTATTTTAGCAATAACCTGTTGTTTAGTTTGAGAGACTTTTGGTTAATAACAGATCTGCCAGATCTTGATTTATTTTGACACGTCTAGAAAAACAAAACCCCAGGACTTTTGTTCATTGACTTTCTCCAGAAGAATTCACTCAAAGGAAGAACTGCAGACCAGAAGATGAGATCCAGCTGTATGTGGAAAGCAGAAAGGATTCCCTGAGAGGGAAGTGAGCAGTGGAGTGGAACTGCCAGCGCTCTGAACGACCGCTGCCCGCACCGCGCGTGCCGTGGGTCTGCAGTGGAGAGCAGCTGAACCACCTGCCCCTCCTCCTTTCCTACCCTCAGAAAACGTTTGCAGTGAGGTGAAAGAAGCCCCAGCCTAAGATATTTTTGGATGAGCTTGTGCCTGCAGAGATACAAGGCCATGAGTTCACCAGAAGGTAACTGTATGATACCTGTTATGTCTAAAAAGTAGAAAATACAGACTCACATTGTAGTCACTTCAAGTAACACAAACTTGTAGTCTAGAAGCTTTTCTCTGATCATAATAATCCAATGGCTGTATGCTCTAATTGGTATGATATAAAGTGTATTTCTTATCTTGTATCTTGCTGAAATAGCTGAAGATGGCCAAAAGCCAATGCAAAACACCCTTTTCTACGATAAGAAATAGCATTCACACCCATATTACTGATAGCTGCACACTACCCTGTCAGGTAAATGAATCCATTTTAAACACTATTATCACTGGAGAAAGATTATACCTAAATACCTCATAAGCAGTTTATCCTGTAACTCAACATACAGGGCAGTTACCCAGTTTCTAATTTTCCAAAGCAGCTGAGAGCATCTTTCCTCTAGCTGATATAAGCAGATAAATGAATGATATAGGTTGGAGGTCTCAACTGCATAGGGAGTACATAGCCTTAAAGTAACCTCCTGTTCAAGTTTCATGGTTTCTAGAATTGTGCATGAACTGTGGAGGCAAACATCTATCTTGCAAGTGAAGAATCCTTTTGCCTTTTCACAGTCACATGAGTTTTTACCAGCAGCATGTGCAATACAATCTGTCATGTTTGAGGAACTGCATTACATATGGGGATTAAAAAAGTCTTGTGACTGAAAAAAAACCAAACTAAAAACTTGACATTGTATTTAGACTTAGGAAAATGTTTTGGTTGGTTTGTAAACCAGATATCCTTCCTTTTTAGAGTTTACAGTGAAAGCAATTATGGTAGCACCAAAGATGTTAAAACAGAAAAGTTTCAGATGTACTTCCTGCCATATGTGGTTATCCAGCAATTACACACTACTCTTTGTATTTGTTTAGAGAGTTGTAAAGATAACCTATAGTGTATTCTCTAATTAGGCTAGATGTTTGAACATCCTCTGAGTTTCTAAGACTCTAACCCTACAGCCATATGAAAGTACTTGATGATCATCATACACACAAGATAACATTTTCCATTCTTTCAAATCTAATGGTAATGGATTTCAAGTTCAAGCATTAGTACAGCCTCAAGAGAGTAGCAGAGAGAATAATTTGCTTACACTACAGAGATAAAAAAATACAAATAAACTATTTTTACAAATAGTTCTCTGGGTAATGATGTAAATGCGGCAGACATGCAGTGTAAAAATACAATGGAAAACGATATTAAAGATATTTCTGAAAACTATAATGATGATCTATTGTGCTTTTTAAAAACTATTTATAAAATAATCTGTAAATATTTTATAAAACAATTGGCAAAAATTACTGACTTTTCTCATTAAAAAACCCCATAACATTTTACATAATATTTAGCTAGAAACACTAGTTACCTTAACTTTTTCTTCCAGTCTTCCTAAGCGCAGACTATCATCCACAATTTTTTTGATAACACCATGATTCTGATTTTCCAAACATCTGGCCTGCAAACATACACTATATGTAACTAAATGTAATCATTAACAAGGGCATACAAAATACATACACTGAAGAAGACAAAGTTATTCTGTTTTGAACTCAAATAGTCTGAAGAACCACGACGGAAAAAGAATCCTGAAAATTATTCTAGTAATGGCTAATTAGTAATTTGTCAACTGACTGTGAATACTCTCTCACTAACAGAATACCCTGAAATAGTTTTATTCTGAAAGGATCATAGCTACTGATACTGTAAACCCAACCAATTCTGCATGTTCTTCTGCAGATGTATGTATGTATGTATGGAGGGATCCCATTCTTACGCGTGTGACTCAACCCCTCTGGGTCAGATCGTGTAGTCTGCTCTCAAAAGAGCCCTTGAAACTGGCAGGGACTCAGGCAAGAAATCTGACATGTGGTTTATGAAAAGCCTCTGGTTTGTGACTGTTTCCATCATTTCATAAGCAGTGCGTTCTCAGATATAAAAAGCAAAGCAAATAAAACCTGGATGAGATGTAAACAATGAAATAATTTTAAGACCTTAGGAAGCTTCAACTGTTAAATCCGCTGGAAAGCATTCAAGAGAGAAATAACCACATTTTAGAATCAGCACAGTCAGACACCTTGAAATCCTCTCCAGAGGCACATCTCCTTTCACAGAAGCCAGAATTAGCTGACATACATCACTGGAGTCTGTGATTCCATGCTGGGGCAGTGACATTCTGATTTACTGAATCATACAACACAATAAAAGAATCATTTTGACAGTTGCTAATTCAAGACTACAGTTCATCATCAGTGTCACACTACCAAAATTGTTTTAAATTTGTGGCTGCTTTGTTTTACTGGATTTATTAGCAGGCTGTCACTGTTCTTGGAAATAGTGAATTTAAAAGCATTTATTTTTGTGGAGATGTGGTTAGTACAAATTTTTTAACTTAATCCTCGTTAAAGTAAGAGCATAGGCTAATTTCTTAGAGCACTGTATCCTTTCTGCTTTCCCTATTCTTCTGGATTAAATCTGCAAAAAATGACTTTCAATGCTTCAGTCAGTGAATTACAGAAGATGGAAGGCTAAGGTAATTAGTTGAACTGAGTAAATATACATGACATTACTGAATTTTGAGGTGGGAGAATAAGAATACATTTTGAATTACATGCCATGCTCAGTAGTGGCTCTTCACTATCATTAGGGTCTGTCTCTAATTAATTTTCTTTTGTTGTTTTGTAGGCCTTGCCATTATCAGGTTACCTGACTACAAGATGACTGCAGTCTAACTTTCTGCCAAGGTAGGCTTTAAGTTCAGTGATCAGAAGTAGGAACAGGTTGTTCTGATTCAGCTTTACCAGGCAGAAAAGTAACCTGGATATTTAAAGGTTTTACTGACACTAGACTATTTCAGTAGAAAAGTTTATCTCAGAGTATCTCTACTGTCAGCTTAAACAGAGTAAATTCATTAAAAAAATTGATCCATAAATATTTATTTCCTAGGGAAAAAAAAAAGCTAAATCATGTGTGGCAAGTACCTGTGTGTCATCATTATACACACGCACACCAGAAAACAGAGTAGATTCATTAAAAAAATTGATCCATAACAGAATCCATAAAAATTTATTTCCTAGGGAAAAAAAAAGCTAAATCATGTGTGGCAAGTACCTGTGTGTCATAATTATACACACGCACACCAGAACGTGACACAAAAGGAAAAGATAAATTCTGTTTTGCATGACAGGACTGGCTTCTAATTGCTGGATCAGTTTATGTCTAAAGAAAGGCAGGCCATAGCTGGCTGCATTTTGGGTTGCTTTCCATGGACCTACTCTGAGCTTTTCACCTGTGCATGAAACTTGATTTTCTGGTGTGTACTTGCAAGTGCAGGTTTCAGAAGGGAAGAATATGATGTCACATACTGCACACTTGTAAAGACAGGGTTAACACTACCTTGTGGTGATTAAAGTTATGTTCAGACATCTTTCCTTCTGAAACAGGTTTTTACTGCTAAAAGTATTCTGAACATCTACTAAGACTATTATTAAGCCAAACAGCATACCTTGTACTTACTGATAATTCTGGATCTCTGTGGTATTTTAACGTGGTATGCTGAATAGTTGAAAGCAGATATACCAGAGATTGAGAGATAAGAACAAATTCTCCAAATTCCTACAAGACATTTACTGTGTCTAGTTTCACAATCTTAAAGTCCAGTTTGCTATGGACAGGGATTTGAGTTTGGTCACCATGGTTCCTCTTCTCGAATTAGGAATTAACCACTATAGAATCTTTTTACTCAACACCGAGGACAATCTTTGTCTCCTACTTGAACAAAAGAGGCAAAAGAAGCTTTATTTTAACAAAGTTTTGTGAAATGGTTTCCAGGACCAATTTGAAGACAGGGTACCAATATGTAAAATTGACATTGTGTCCAAGATCTTGTAAAAGAAAATTAAGTGTGCCTATAAAAAGCCCAGTAACTTTCATGCCAGATGCTTCCACTAAACAGAAGTTGTTCCAAAACTCTCAACTAGCCTGTCAGAATGACTGCTCACCAAAAAGAGCACGTGCACCCACAGCAGACAGTCTGTACAAATTGCTTCAAGGGTGATAGTTTACCTTCAGATTCAGAAATGTGTATTAAAAATTTATGATTGTGTGCTACTTTTCAATATGTGTAGCTTCAACAATGAAGCCAGTCTCTAAACCTAGATTAGAAAATTCTTCTAAATTGGATATATCCCATTACAGACCTCAAAACTAACATGAGTTAAGGCTTAATTATGGTACCGCCAGAAACCAGGGTAGTTGCTTTTAACCAATCTTCTAGAAAATAATCTTTTGCTGCCTCTATCCTATTTGCAGAGGTCTATTTAAATAGCCAAATCCTTGTCCCATAATTTCTTTGTTGATAATTCAAATTAACAATGAGTTGTGCCACTCATGATAAATGTGCCACTCATGATGATAGATGTGTGAAATATCAACTAGATAATATTAATTATTTAAAGGCAATTACCAGCAAAATAAGATGATCACGTTCCTGAGTTATGTTCTCCACCAAACCAACAAGGTTTGTTAGATAGTGACGGGCTGCAGCTTCTTTTTCCACTGCTTCCTCCAACTGTAGCTTCAACAGGCCTATTTTCTTCTTTAATCGCCTGTAAAATTAACAGAAGAAAATAGCCAAATCCTTGTCCCATAATTTCTTTGTTGATAATTCAAATTAACAATGAGTTGTGCCACTCATGATGATAAATGTGTGAAATATCAACTAAATAATATCAATTATTTAAAGGCAATTACCAGCAAAATAAGATGATCACGTTCCTGAGTTATGTTCTCCACCAAACCAACAAGGTTTGTTAGATAGTGACGGGCTGCAGCTTCTTTTTCCACTGCTTCCTCCAACTGTAGCTTCAACAGGCCTATTTTCTTCTTTAATCGCCTGTAAAATTAACAGAAGAAAGAAAATCTTCAGATTGGGAATTAATAGTGGCATTAAAAGAACTTCCATTGCATGTGCAAGTCAACTTGTACAAGTCTCAAAGAATCAAATATACTGTTAAAGATGCATTGGCTCAAAATATTTGCAATGCCAGAACTATCATTTCCCACTTTTTGGGGGCTGTTTTTCTTTACAGTACAGTGTGTGAATAACAACAGTAACAACGATTCAAAGCACAATTTGTGCAATGGCTACAAGCTATTTCTTTCTTCAGAAATCTAAAAGTAATATGGTTTTACTTTTTAAAAGTGTTGTGAGCCCATCTCTGAACCACTTGGGTGTATGACAAGATCTGCACATAGTGTAAGACCCTATTTTTCAGATGAGTCCACAAATGATTAATTTATATAGCTAACTACAAGCATTAAAGATAGAATGTTAATTTGCACGTAGACATAGAGAAGTGTACATGAAAACATACAGAGCTTAGCAAAGTTACTTGACACCCAGGCCTTTACATGTGATCAAGATGTCTTTAGAAAGCCTGTTTTTTCTGTAATTAGTAGAAATTACTATGGGATGTCTGACAATATCTTTACTGAAACTTCTGCTGTTATTTTTGGAAATAAAAGTATTTCTATATAAGAAAATAAGAATCTGATAGGACCTGTTAGCCTTTTGTGTCATTTCCATCTCAGTTTCCAGGACCTTGTTGTCAGCCATGAATTTATTTTCCTCTAAAAGCAGTTTCTTGTTTTGAGCTTGCAGTGATGCCATCTCTCCCATTAGAGCTTCCACCTCAGAGCACTTTTTCTCCTGCTCCTGTTGTAAATGGCTGCAAAAACCAACAGTGTAGAACAGGCATCATGTATAGGCCAACTGGACTAAAAAGCCAAGTTACAGTAAGACCCCCATGTTGAAGGCATGAAAAGATGCATTGAGAATGCTTTAATATTCAGTGGTGACATCAGAGATGACAGTCTCATGACATATCAAATCATGAATGAAGCATAATACAAACAAAGGTATTTAAAAAAATCATCCTGACTGCAGTAGAAATAGAACTTAAATTATAAAAATATCCTATATAGTCCAAATGTGTTCCCTTCCTAATTTTTTTTTTCCCAAGAAATTGCTAGCAATGACAAAAAACAAGGTCTGAGAACTTCTCAGGAAGCCACTGTACCAAGAAGCAGTAACTTGTGCTATCCTCAGGCTTGCAAGCAAACAAATTTACAGGATGTCTTTAGGAAAACATTCCTTCACAGACTATGCTTCATGACATCACTTTTGTGTTGTGCTGTTTCATGTTACTTCCATATTATAAAGACTGGAGAAACTCAGTATTTTTAGTTTAGAATTTCAGGGTCCTTCAGACGTTTTTCAAAAGAATAAGAACGGTGTCAATAGAGAGCTTTAAAAAAAATGCTGGCTTTAATGACTCTTCTTCTATTTAATAAAGGTATATTTAGCAGTATGTACACTATGGTAGGAACACTTCTACCAATTTCTCTAGATCTGGGATTTCTTTCTGTAATTTTGATTATCTATAACAATAGATAATATGATAGAATTTCTGACATTTCTTTACTTTTCTTTGTACCACAGTAGTCACCTTCCTAGATTGCCAGCATAAGCTTCCATGCCTCCCACCTATGGAGTGATGCAAATCTGCTCATGTGAATGCTTTGTGGAGTTGCTTCTTTGTAAACTCAGACTCATACCTTTTTAAATCATTCACCAAAGCAAAGTGTTCCTCTGCTGCTATTCTGCTATCCACTTTGGCTTTGAGCTCTTTACAAGTAGAACTCAAAACTTCCAACTGCTTCTGGTACTCTGCTATCTCTTCCTCTTGACTCCGTTTCTTATCTTCTAAGAGCAGGATCTGTTTGGTCAATTTTGAAGCTTTTGGGAGGAAAAAAAAAAAACAAACACAAACCTGATTACAGCAGAGCTAATTCAATCACTTAGTGAAACTCCAAATAAACCAGTAACATGTTAATTCCTAGTTGTTCATAGCATTATGTAACAGTGGATTTGTCAGTTTGCTTGGTATTTTATGTTTGGATTACTTTTTTTGTGTGTGTGTGTTTCAAGCAGTTTGCTTTAGAAAAGCACTACAGACTTCCTCTTCTCAGAGCTATAAGCTATTTGATTATTGAAACATGATCTTACTCTGAAAAACCCTCTGATTCATATTTTATTAATTCAGGTAAAGAACCTAAATGGAACATGACTTTTGTAACCTAGTAGCTAGGTCACACACCTAGAGACTGCCTAGTTTCTGTTCACTGATCTGTAGTATGTATTTCAGTCAGTGGATACAATGCCAAAACAGTTGAAACTTAATGGAAGAACTCCAGCAGAAGACATCAAAATCTGTCAGTGTTTACTAGGGATGTTCTGACAACTCATACCAGATCAAGCTATTTTGATATTTGTGAAGAGGAATACCTGATTTTGGGGTTTTGTCTGACCTTTGGCAGGATGAATAGAGAGAGGTAAACCTCTAAACAAGAAACTCAGAAACTTTAAAAGCAGAAGGGAAAGTATTTATGGAATTAGGTGGCAGGTGAATAAAAAAATTCTGAATCAGAGTAGTGCTATATACGTTCACTTATGGGAACTTTCATCAGTGACTTCTGTTAACTGCATATAATTAAATGTTTTCCAGAACATCCTGATCTCTGAATTAAGATTTCATTTTGCTTTTTAAACTTCACTAAGAAATTTTACTTTCAGTTTGGGGATTTTAAACTATAACATGCTTGTTCTCTTTCTAATATCCAGTCAGAAGGCTATTATGAAGAATAGCCAGAGGAATCTACCAATGCAAAATATCTTTCAAAAGAAAAGTTCATCTTGGCCAAGAAATATTTACAGGCAAGACAAGGAATATCAAGTGTTCTGAGTTCAAACAACTACAAACCTCTGATAAGAGAGCAATAGATAACAGATAATTACTTGAAGATGCATGAAATTTAAGCAGTATCAAATTATAAAAATGTAAAATCAAATACTACTACTTATAGTTAACTGCATTAGGTAATAAACATTGCTTACAAAGCAGAAAATTTAAAAACCCTACAAATTCTAAAATTAACATTTAAATGAGCAAACAATACCTCACAAATACCTACCTGTAAAGTTTAAAATCCTCTTAAATTACAAAAATTAGCATAATGCTCATATTAGTGTTACCGACATGCAGCAACGCTTTGCAGGCAGAGATGAAGTTGGAAAAAAAGCCCCAAACCAAAAATCAACACCCCCCAAACCAAGCACAAGCAAAAAAACCTGCAATAACATCTCTGATGTAGTTCAACTGAATAGCAGTTTGATCACTTTACCTTCTTGAACATGTTGTCTGTTACTATCTTTTGCTTTAGCTTGTTGAATTTCAAGCTGCTCCATCAACAATCTGTTTTCTTCCAAGACCAGCCTGGCCTGAGTTTGCAGCTGCTGCCTGCAATGACAAGCAGCTTATAAATAAAATATAATTCAAATATTAACTTATGTCCATAGAAAAAACACAACTGACTTCCAGCAGTGTAAACTTATAAAATCATATTTGATCCTCTGCAAAAAAACAGATTAAAAACCCTCTCCAAAAGCAATGTCAGGACCCGAGGTAAGTTTACTAGAGACATGAACTCACAACCCTCCAAAATTATATTATTTAAAATAATGCTTAAAATCTTTAACTAAAGCATAAAATCACCACAGAAAGAAGGAAAAATATGTATGTGTGAATTAGAATTGTAACATCACAGAATGGTTGAGATTGGAAGGGACCTCCAGAGGTCATCTGGGCCAGCCCCCTGCTAAACCAGGGGCACCTACAGCCAGCTGCCCAGGCCCATGTCCAGATGGCTTCTGAATATCTCTAGGGATGGAGACTCCACAACCTCCTTTTTTCAGTTTGTGCCCACTGCCTCTTTTCCTGTCACAAGGCACCACTGAAAAGAGCCTGGCTCTGCCTTTACACCCTACCATCAGGCATTTCTATACAGGGATAAGATCCCTCCAAGCCTTCTCTTCCCTAGGTGAGATGGTCCCAGCTCTCTCAGATTTCACTCATATGAGAGAATTAAAGCTACATAATGTGGCCAGATGACTTGGAGACAGCTATGTAACCATCAACTGAACCAAACTTGTTTTGAAAACATGCAATTAATTCTTGGATAGGGCTTAGCTTTACTTTGCTTTGATCTCTGTCAAAATATTGCCTGTGTGTTTTATGGGCCTGTAAAGAATGTGGATATTTAAACTGAACTATCCCAAGTAGAGAACCTTCTGCATAATAGCTAGTTAATAATTCAGGTTTCAAGAAAACAAATATTAGTCTTTCTGATGTTAACAAAAGCTTAAGAAACTATTTGCTGTCCTAATAATAACTTAAAAAGCTGAGAAGCATTAGCCAGAATGCAAGTAGACATACAATTATCAGATGATATCAGATGAATTTAAACACAAGATTTGTCATCCATCAATCAGCAAAAATAGCCTAAACCCAAAAATACCTGATATAATCTGAAATCTATCTATTTTGTTTATATGTGGCCTGACCTAGATAAAAATGCATCATACTGTGTCTAGAACTAGATAAGGACAATTTCCCCTACCATCAAATGATATTCTGAATAAAATTTAAGCTGAACCATACAGGTAACAATTGCTGTCTGGCAGCTGAAAAACAGTCATAAACAGTCTGCCCTGAAGATTTTTGCAAACACAGAAACTGAAGTGGGCTTACACTTGTCTCCATGAAAACCTCTGCACACAGGAGCTTCTAAGTTTAGCTGACTTAATTTACTGGGAAATTTACTGCAGTAGGCGTAGGAGAAGGAAACAAATGCATATCAGCCACTTACAAATTGGTTAATATCTAAGAGTTCATACTGTTTAACCATTGAAGACTGCACATTTTCATCTGAATGGAAAACAAAAATGAAAACTGAATGACAAAATACATTTGTTATTTGGGACAGGAAGGTCAGTACTGATCTAACATTACAAGCTGAAGAAACGATGGAAGTGTGCTGTTCCAAAGCCTGTTACACGGGTGAGGAATCATCTTCAATTTCCACTTGGTTTGTTTACAGTGCATGAATACCCAGTTCTTGTTCCAGTAACACTGCTCTCAGTCCTGTAAATGCAGCTTAAGTAGTTCTTTGATGCCATATTCCAATACCATTTCAAACTAATGAAAACCTGATGTCTTTAGTACGTTCTTACAGTAGTATATTCTTACACAGGCTTTAGGTGCAAAGCTGCACATTCAATATTTAATCTTTACTCCAAAATTATTTCAGGCATTGCAGATCAGTTATTGCTCCAACCAGATATAATCATAATTCTATTAACACATCAGCCAAACTTCAAATGCTTGAGGGGAACAAAATTTTGAAGATAATTTTTGTAATCTTAAAAGCTTGCATGCAACAAGAAAAATCAGTAGTTTTAAAATGAGTTTCTAGTAATATAACTTACCATTCTGTAGGGGTAATAAAGTTACTTTTATTTAATTGCTTATGCAGCTCTTCATTCTCCTTCACCAACTCTTCCACTTGTACTTTAAAATTCTTCATGTCCTCCTGGAAGACAAAGGAATCCACATAAAAATTCTTTAGAGGTAAGTAGGTTGTTCTAATTTTTACATCAACAAAAACATTTATAAATATACATACAATTCTTCTGTTAACAGCTCATTATCTCACTACTTATCTTTAATTCAGCTGCATATACTTAACTTCTAAATGGCTTCAATCTAGTCATATTTCATTAAAAAATAACATATATTTTCCTTAGTACCCATTCCTTAATATCTTAAAACAAATACTCTTCTACTACAAAATCCACAGGCCTGTAACTTGAGGAGCAGCTATACCATGCACTGAATCCCCATTATGAATGCAATAGTAAATTCTTTCTACCACTAACAGTGTTTGTTTTACTCTACTCAGAGATGCAATTCTTGTACACCTCAGTGTACTGCCTCCTTCCACATCTGTGACCAAGCTGACAAAACCAAGCAAGCCACGTAGGATAAGGCAGCACAATAACCATGCATAGATAAGTAAAACAAAGTCGCTTTTAATTTTAGGCAGAAAGCAGCTTGGACAAATCCCTTTAAAAAATAATCAATAATTTATTTCTGCTTTAGTGTATATTTGCTTTAATCAGTGACTTGCCTCACGTTCGAGATTTAAATCTTCCTTTTCCCTTATTCTATCTTCATATGCCAACAGGAGAGGTGACAAATACTTCATATCCAACTTAAAAAAAAAAGTCAATCCATATAAATCAATGACAAACCATAATCTCATCAATATTTTAACTTCTGCTATATATTGCTAGCTTTAAAAGCTATTAAGGGTTTTTGCGTATGCCTTGCAAAGTGCAGGACTTCCACAAGCAAGGATGCTGCAGAAGCACTTATTAATGCCACTTTAGGAGCAAGCTTTGGGAAGGACAAGGCTGGATGCTGCACTTGCACACTTCACTGAAGAGCAGCTACACCTTACCAGTATATGTAACACAGTACCATGGGGATGCAAACTGAACCAGAAACCAACAACTGCTACAGTGAACACAGTTATTCATAATGTCATTTAGCCCAGATTCATTAGTAAGTGGGAAAGGAACTTTTACACTCTCAAACCTGTACCTTTAAAACAAAATACATACACATGTGATTGATGGGTATTATAGCTAGAAAGACAGAGCAGGAGGAGGATTTCCTATTTCTATATAGTTCTAAATAACAGTGAGGAAGTAAAATGTAAGGTTTGATTAGCATTTCACGGAGAAATTGTTTCACATTAAAAATGCAATCCACTTCAGAGGATTTGCTGTTTTGCCAGAAGTTCACAGGCTACTAGTTGACCCACGACCACTTCTACCATCAGAATTGCTGAAATATGCTGTCTTCTTTTATTATCAACTTAAAAATAATCACAGCAGAAGATTAACAGTTAAGATTAACAGACCTTGAAGCAAACTATACATTAGATAATGCTAAATGAAGATGGTTTTTATGATGCTCAAGGTAACAGTACTGCTCCTTAACCTGCAGTCAGTAGAGGTTTTTACTTACCAGCCATGGTGGTGGTGGTCCTTTCATGGGTAAACTGTTCAGTTTTATATGCTAAAATAGAGTTTTAAAAATACACTGAAATTACTTCTGCATTTTGAAGCACCAATTGCTGTTCACTGCAGTCACAACTAATACCCCAAACAAGTTTATGTTTCTAATTATGTGTTGTGTATGTAGCACCCACTCAAAGTCAACAAAATGGGAAGTTCAATATCTTACAAATACAAGAGAAAATATTAACTTCCTGAAGTCAGTCTTAATGATAAACGCTCCTTTCAAATTTCAGAAAAAGCCTATGCCATTTGTAGACTTTGTGGCAAAATTTGGAGAAAACAGTCTTAAAAACTCAAAGATGAATGAAAGTACACTGAGACATTTCAGTACAAACTGCTGTTACAGCCAAGATTCTCACCTCTTCTTGGGTTAGTGGCCTGAATTTGGTTTGGTAGCGACTTAGTTCTACATTTAAACGATGAACCGTCATTTTCAAAGCATCGTTTTCATCTACCAGTTCTTGTGCTTGTTGTCTGAGAAAAAGTAATTCTGTAGCCTCCTCTATTAAGATAAGTATCCAACAAGAAAGTTCAATCAAAATTCAAGAAACGTGCACAATAATTTAACTAAGGAAAAAATAGCAGTAAATTAGAATCATAAGAGAACTTCCCTCAAAATACTGTAATGGAATAATCTCATGAAAAATTACTAACAAAAAGCCCATTAAATTTCAAGCAACAAGTAATTTTTTTTTCACTATTATATAAGTATTCCTTCTGCATAAATACTCACTCAAATCAATGAATGGAAACCTACTACTGCACAAATAGGTTGTAAGATGTTAGAAAAATCAAACATGATAACCACAGACTAGCTTATGTGTTTCTCCCACCTTCTCTACGTGACTTCTCTGCATGTTCTTTAAGTCTTCTGTTTTCTTCTTCTAGTCTCTTCAGCTTTAATCGCTGTTCTTCCATTTCCTGTTTTGTTCCCTCAAATTGTTGGACCATAGCCTGGTATGCCTTGTTCAGAGAAAAGTTTTGTTGTTTTAGTTCTCTGAGCTTTTCTTTAGTCATATTTTCTCGTGCTTCCCTTGCTCGAACAGACACATCTGTAATATCATAGTACAAAGAATTTAAATGGTAGTTGGACTTGAATATGAGTTTCGGCAAATTATTAGCCATTTTTCCTAATATTAGCATTAGATATTATTAGATATTATCAGCTCATGGCTCTCAGAAGATAAGGCCAGAGAGAATTAAAGAAGTGGATTTGGAAAGAGCGCTATATAGTGAAGTGGCTCCAAGGTCGCATCTTAGACACTGAAAACATTCCTTCCTTAAAGCAAAAATGAAGCATCAGCACATCTCCCTCTCCCTAGCATCTGTGACTAGAGAGGTGAGACACAAATATCCACTGCAGGAAGCAAAGTGCACGTGTCCAGCATGAACTAGTCAGTCCCCTTGACCCTCCTTTCTTTCATCACCTGGGAAATGGAACCTTTACCCTCCTCTCCACTGAACACGCTCCAATGATCCGTTGCCTAACAGAAGTTACTTAACAGTCCTTACAAAAAAAACAATTATATCATCTGCAAAATTATGGAAGTATGTTACATCAGCAATAATGGATCACACTTTCAAATTTTTCTTTTCATCTGTATGTCTAAATACCCATACAGATGAAGTATGGTACCTGGGGATGGTGGAGGCTTTTCATGTAACAGATTTTCAGGTAATGATTTTTCTTCCTAGCAGAGAAATAAGAAATGAGACAATTTGCTTTAACAGTTATCCTTTCTTAAGTACTCTGAACAGCATCACTGTTTTTGTTAAGAAACAAAACTTCTGAAGCAGTTTCTTTTCTATCAACAAAAATTAAGGTTGGATTTACCATGGACAATATACAACTTGCCATTTATCCATCTTTACATAATTTTTTCACTTTTCACTGCAGACACTTGAAATTGTTAATATTTTCTTCAGTTGTCAGAGATGTGCAGTTCTCAAAGCAATTTTAGAAAGCTTCTTGACCAAAAAGGATGGATATTGCTCCCACTTGTTACTGTATAAAATAAGACCTTAGAATAGTCAATTATGATATGAACTGTCAGTCCCTAAGTGGGAAACAGCAAATAAATTAAAATGTAAAATGTTCTCCAAAAAAAGCTGAAGAAATTTCTTCTCCCTTTGATGGTTAAAAAAACCCCAAACCTATTTTTATAATTTTTAGAGAGTTTTTCCACCAGGAAAGAACTACAGGCTGAATTTATACTAATGTAACTATTTGAGGTGAACATGATTGATACATGAACTTTCTCCATGTTTTTATGAAACAGCATGAGGTTCTATAAGGATATCATGCCGTGTAATTTCACATACTGAGACACTGATGACTCAAAACTTACGAATAATTTCAAAAGGATATATGTGGTCAAGAACCTGAAGAAAAAAGTGCTGTTCCTAATGGGAGAACTGGCCATTTTTGGAAATAATATTCCAGTAAATTGTTCTGATGAACTAAACTTTTGGGTATTCTTTTTCAAGTTTATGAAAGCAGTCACATGGCCCCAGCTGGAAAACTAGACAAAAATCAGATGAAGCCAGGATGAGAAACTGAAAATTTTCAGTAAGAGCTCTCTCTTTCTACAGCATGATGTCTCCCACTGTTTCTTTCACAGGAGGAACCACAGAAGATACAATTAAAATAAATAAATAAATAAATAGGACCCCCCCACACACACCTAATATATGTATGGCCTATTTATCTACATAGTCATTCTTTTTTCAAAAGAAATTATTAACTATTCTTGCACTCCAAAATAAAAAGATTCCCTAGTGGCACTAAATTAGTTTCCTTCTAAGTGACTGTAAACTATCAGCTCTTCTTAACACGTTTTTTCCAAAATATGTTACAAATTAACATGTAAGTCTCACCTTTAAATTCAAGCCAAGCCCTTGGTCTTCTGCTAAGGAAAAACAGATCTTTCAGTCAACTAAAATCAAAAGCATTTGTAAGTCTGTAAACTATAAGGGTTCATATGGATATGTAAGCACACATATTATAGTGCAATTAAGTGTAAGAAAGTCCTCCCAGACACACAAACTAGATCACTAACTTTGTACAATCAATTTCATGGTTTGTCAGTATATGTGAGACCTTACTTCACCTCACACTGTATAGAGGCAACTGTGGAAGAAATGAACCTGTATGGTTGTCTTCCATTAGTGTTTTAGAATTTCAGTAAAGGACAAATGCAATATTTTCATTGATTTTACTACGATGGAATCCTGTTGCATCTCTGAACAAGGCCAGGGCAAATCTGGCAGCTTCCAAGATCTGCAGCACTCACTATGCAGAAGAGGGATTAGAAATAGTTTATATATCCTATCTTTTTCAGTTTAATGCATCCACTTCCCACATGGTTTTATCAAAGCAACCCATTCTTTCTGGATATTGTTCTCTGGCTTTAGGGATAACTCCACTGAAATAATACTGAAACAACACTGGGATCCAACATAAATAAAACTTAGACAAAGATTTTTTTCCCCCTCCGACTGACAGTGGATGCTTAGGAGTTTCAGTTATACAGTGAATATAGACCAATCTTTCCTCTTTATGCAGATTTTTAATTTTCTGTAGCTACTAGAAATGGCTATGTATTTACTAGCATTTCTTTCATTGCCCTTTAAAAAAAAAAAAATCATTATTATGTAGTACTAAATTTATTTTATTTAAAGTTTCTTTTTCCCCCCACAATATTAAAAGGTATGCCATTTTGACTTCAGGTAAGTTTATTTACCTTCTGTTTGTATGTTTGACTTATCCACCACCATCTGAAACTCAGTTTCATGAGAAGGCTCCTCTTTTCTGCCAGCATTAGTACTAGGAGATGCTGGAAACTCTTCCTAGGTAGAAATAAGACAAGCCTATCTATATCAAAATAACACTGTTAAAATAGTCCATGTGTTGATATCTTTGTGAAGCCTTTAGTGTCCTAATGTCCCAGTCCCAATCAGAGTTGTACACCTGTATTTTAAGATAATAAATAATACATACTTTTTTGTTTAGGGTTCTGTGTAAATAAATTCTAAACCTTACAATGATCAAGACGAGGTAGGAAACTCTAATTTAGTTCACAGGGCAAATATTCCCTGTCAGCTCATTCACAGGAGTCTGTGAAATAATCCTATGTTTGCTGTGTTCTAGTAAGATGAACCATTTATCTACTACATCATAGCACTGAAGTATTGATGAATCATTTTTAACATTTTATCCACTGTTTTTCCCCAGTTTATCACATACCAGTGTCCCACATATTCCACGCCCTGGTTTGCTACCTTACAAAAATCAAGAGAAGGTAGGAAACTCTAATAGTAATTGAGTTCACAGGGCAAATATTCCCTGTCAGCTCATTCACAAGAGTCTGTGAAATAATCCTGTTTGCTGTGTTCTAGTAAGATGAACCATTTATCTACTACATCATAGCACTGAAGTATTGATGAATCATTTTTAACATTGTATCCACTGTTTTTCCCCAGTTTATCACATACCAGTGTCCCACATATTCCACGCCCTGGTTTGCTTCCCCCCTCCTACAGATTTCTTCCATATACACAGCATTTTAATGCCTCTTCACTACTCAGCTACTTCCTCCTGTTTGACAATTTTTTCTATCATTTTGGACTGAACTTTAAATGTGTCTTAGGAATATTAAGCTGCTCATTGCATAGTCTTCAGAGGACAAGGTAATTTATTTTGTCTGCTTCTGAATCTCCCTGTCTCGGCACAGGTCTGCTCAGCACAGTACTGAACCATTAACTAAGCTTTCACCATTTAAAATAAAGTTCCTAGTACTTTTAACAACAAAAAAAATCTACAAGTATCAGACTCAACGTAAAATATTGGATGTTTTACAAGACTAAATGATGCACAATAATTATACACGATACCATTGTTTTCCTAATAAGAAAAGGCTTCTAAGAATCAGAGATATGGTATCTGTGAGGATCAACAAACCCACCCAATTCTTGTAGCAGTAAATGAACCACAAAAAGAAGCATGTGAAATAAAAACTGAAAAAATGTCTGAAGAGTAAGAAGAGAATGAAAAGCTGTAGAAATATTTCATGTTTTCATCAATATATTAAAATACAGTAAAGGAATGAACACATTTGAAAATCCTACCTTTTTATTTTTGCAGGGAACACTATAAATAGCATTGGTGCTAAAGCTTTCTCTCCTTTTATTACTCTGGCAGCTGGACTCTCCCTCTTTATCAGCATCTGAATCATAGGTATCCACGTCCTCATCCTCACCATAATTGCCTGATATTTCCAGGGACTGCACAGAGGATCTGTCACTACCATGAATTTTCCAGTTGGGCCTATAAGTAGAAAGCAGTTTAAAGTCTGTTTCAGTGTTGTTTATTCTTCCTAGAAATAAACACTAAAGTAGAACCATGGGTCTTACAATATACATGAGTCCAAACAGCTGACATACATCTAAGCTTCCGTTAGCTGCAAACAAAGGATCTAGCCAATGTGTATGCTTTCAAATAGACAGTTAACACTGGAGCTACCTTTTCTTCTCTATCTTCTATGAGACTACCAGATTAGAGATTAAAAAGTGGCTAATTCTACCAAAAGAAGAGTCTGTAATAGTTATTTAGAACAAAGGAAATAGCTGACATGTAATTCAGATGATTCCTCAGTGATTAACTGTTTGTACAATTGATCATCATTTGGTCTGCTGTACAGTCCAAATCTCCCTCCCTGAAAACTATGCATGACATCACTTTATGAGAAATGGAAGAATTGTAAACACTTCAGACCAAATTTATGATGTGGTGAGAAAAAAAGCAAGCAGCTGTAGCAGCAGGAGTTTGCTGCAACTCTTTGGTAAAACTGTACTATTGATGGATTCCATGTGTAACAAGAGCCCAAAGCAGGAAGGACACACTTACCCCATTCCGAGCTCCGCAGCTGTGGCGTACGGCTCCAGACACTCTTGTTCCACAGAGCTGGAATCATTCTCAGAGAGCGAGCGCTGCCGAGGCTGCGGGATAGCAACAGTGCGCCCCGTCAGCGCCGTGGCCAGGACAGCTGCTGCCAGAGCAGACCTGGGAGAAAACAGAACAAAGCAGGGGAACAATACTGATGGCTCCTCCGTGCTCCACCTTTTATAATTGTTCCATTGCAGAAGGTCTTCACTATTTAAGCAAAGCAAAATGTTCACAGTTAAGAAGCATAAAGGCCACTGGAAGTGCTGAGGGACTGGCTATAAACTACTTATCCCAAAGCAAAGCACAGAACTGGGCAAGCTATCATAATGCAGCTTTCTAAGAGCAAAGTACAATACCTACCAATTTTCCCAAATCATGTGCATGAAAATCAGGGAATATACTGAGTTACATTCCCCAAACTGACATTGTTAATTTACAGTACTTAACATTCACTGTAGCCATAACAATACTACCTGGTGCTGTGTTGAAGGTGTTTCATGTTTGACTGTTTTGTCTCCTAGTTCCCATTATTCCCTACCCTGAACCCTTTGCTGATGACTGAAGGTGTTAGTAAATGACAGCACATTGCTAACTAGGGCAAGAGTAAGGAGACAGAAGTGCCTATTTGTGGCATGTTGCAGAGTATAAAGGAGGGTAAGATGAAGAGGAAAAAAACAAATACAGAGAAAGATTAAAGGAGAGAAATGGTGAGGACTGTAACAGGAATGACAACTGGCAGTCAAAAAAAAGGAGAAAGAAATGGACTAGGATTACACAGGAACGTTACAGGCACTAAAAAGACCACAGAAAACAAAAATTGAACTAAACACAGAGGAAATATGAAAGAAAATCTGTAAGAAACTACAAATGAAAGGAAAAAAAAATATTTTCTCTTTATTTAATAGCTACTTCAAATCCAATCCAACATAGTTTTACAAGCCAATTTTTTAATTCCCTGCTTTTTAAAATACGCAATAAAATGGCACGTTATTGATGTTTAATTTATGCTTTTCTAATGAGTTAAAATATCCTGACCCACAGCAGTAGTACTGCTACAATCCTACACTTCACTATAGCAGTCAAATTAAAAATGGCCCTAACCTTCAATAGTCCATTTCTCTTTAACTGACTGAAATTCTGAATAAGTTACATGTTCATAATGGTGACTGTCACTACTTAGCATGCTTGGCAATGGGAGAAATTCACATGAGGGAGCTGCCCCAGTTTAAAACTTATTCTGTTTATGAAAAGGCTTATGGTAAATGCTGCAGCAAGGACATGCAATTCTTCTAAATATGTTTTTCTAGTATTGTAGTTGATGAAGCAAGAAAAAAAAAACAAAACCCAAACAAACCCAACTCAAAACCATCACGGGCCTTTCTGGAGAAGGGTTTGGACTACGAGGGGGAGGGGTGCGGGGAACGGCAGGTTTAGGAGCTATGGTAGCAGCAGGGACCAGGCCATGAGCTATGTGTTTCTAAACAATTTAAAATAAAATTAGTTGACAATGACTTTCATCATCACAATTAAAAAAAAAACAAAAACAAAACCATAATTGAACATGCAGAAAAACTAACAATGAAAAATAAGAACAATCACATGCAATTAATGTAAACAGAAGACTTGAAATGGTTCCGAGTTTAACTGTTGAACATGTACAAACAGTTGCTAATGAAGGTTAGAAATGTAATTTATGGAAGACCCATGAATGTAGGTTTTCTACCCACTAAATCACAATCTGCAAAAACAGAATTTTAACTTAGTCAATTCAACTTTTTCTCCTGTATATATACAAGAAAAAAAAAAAAGAGTACTAGAATTATTTTTTTTCAGACCATTTAGATCCTGCTTCAGCATAACAGTATTAGTCTTATTACTACTATTTCTTGTAGAAAGAATCTCTCAGAAGTAATCCTCAGTCATAGCAGTATGACATGGAACAAAAACTATCACTAAATGTGCCTTACAATCAAAGGTTCAACCTGAATTTAAAAGAAATTTAAGAATCCTATTTTTTTTTTTAATCAGCAAACCCAACAATTATTTTTAAAAGGATAACATTAAATATCAGCCCAGAAAAACTGGGACCAGAGTTCCCTAGAGAGTGTGCTGAATGGAATCACATAATGGTTGAGTTTGGATGGGAGCTCTGGAGATTGTCTAGTCCAAGTGCCTGCTCAAAGCAGGGTCAACAGGAGAGGGTTGCTTGAGATCCTAAGCAGTCAAATTTTGAGTATCTCCAAGGGAGGAGTCTCCACAACCTCCCTAGGCAACCTGTTCCAGTGTTGGACCACCCCTCACAGTATTTTAAAAAATTATTATTATGTTTTATGTTTAATTTTCTGTGTTTGAATGCATGCCTATTGCTTCTTGTCCTCTCTCTTGGCACCAGGAAATACTATGTTATAACAAAGTCCATCACTGTCAGACAGATGTTACTTCTTATGAAGGAAAAACATGCTAAGTTCCCATTTCTGCTACAGAGCTATTTTTTTTTTCCCAATTGTTCTTTAATTGTCTTCAACAGGGTAGTGAACAGGTGATCTGGGTAACATTTCTGTCTTTGCAGGAAGCTGCATCACTAACTGGTGCCTTACAAAGACTCTTGCTTGTCAGTGATACCTTAAAAAGGCACTGCTCTAATTCTGGCAGGACTCTCCTGAAGACTGTTCACTGCAGGCCTTACTATAATCACCAGGGACTACAGCTGACGTAAAAACAGGTTTGCTGGCATCCCACGGTAAAAGTAAGACAAGAAGAAAAGTTCGATACTTTATTTTAATTCTAACAATCAAAAAAACCGCAATGACTTCAAATACGCTTGAATATTAGCACCACGGTTGACAATCCCACAACCCTCGGTTGCTCTGAACTTTAGCTATGAACTTTTATCCGTTCGCTTTGAGGCGGCGAACGTCTGCTTCTGAGAGGATCCCCTCGGCCAGCGCTGGGAGCGAGCGAGCTGCTCCAGAGGCCGCCCCCGAGG